ACCTCTTAACATACCCTACCTGCCCCAAACTGTTGCTCTGTAGGCTAAGTTTCCAGCGTATGAACTTTGAGGGACACATTTACACCATGATAGATGGCCTCAGAATTGTCTGTCTTGTTAGTTTTTTTTTTTCCCTTAGTGGTATCAGGGCTCAAATCCAGGGCTTTTGTATGTGCTGAGCACACTTTTTACCATGGAGACACACCTCCAGTTGCCACGTGGCTTTCTTAGGTGGAGCATCACCACTCTGTATTTCCATCCTCGTTAATCTGAAATGACACTATGATTTGCTTCCACCAATAATACTTAGTAGAAATTATATAGTGCAGCTTTATAGTTCAAAGAGGCTTCACAGTTTGTTTCTTACTCATGAGGCCCCAGGTGACACCCAGCACCAACTCAATTCAGTGCTGCCCTATGTGTGACCCCACACAAGATCAGTAGAGGAGCTATCTAGCTGAGCCCATCCAACCCATGGAACCATGAAAGCACTCCTCTTGTTTTATACTAAGTTTGAGGGTTCTCTCATAGCTCTTTTGAGTGGCCTTCAGTCTCATTTTGCTTACTGCATCTCCATGGCACTGTTTATTAAGCCTCTTCTCCATACTCTTATAAGTTGGTGTTTAAGTCTTAATCATATTCAAGATCATGTTTTTAGCAATGACCCTTCATAGATGGCATTCTACCAGGAGGCACATACTATGGCATTGTCTCTCTTGTGTGACTATCATCCACTGGTTCTCTTTGCTCTAGTCCATTTGTAATTACAAAATAAAGGTCTTGTAATATTAATTTTTTTTTTGGTTTTTCAAGACAGGGCTTCTCTGTGTAGCTTTGGTGCCTATCCTGGATCTTGTTCTGTAGACCAGGCTGGCCTTGAACTCACAGAAGATCCACCTGGCTCTGCCTCCCAAGTGCTGGGATTAAAGGTATGCACCACCACCACCTGGCATAATATTAATTATTTATGCATTAGAATGGAACACTTTCATAAAGATTTTCCCTCAGCTCAAAGGGCAGGACAAAAAACTGGGTTTCTTGCTCTGTTTGTCATTTGAAAACTCAACTATTTCATTCCTCACTGTTTGTCAAAGGTGGCTAGGGAGGTTCTGTTCTTCCTTGTTCTAGTCTTGTTAATACCATTATGAACTCATGGATTTAGCACGTTTAGTGCATTTTACTCCTTTGCTCTTCATCTTTTTGATGCACAAATTGTCCCATCATTGGCTAAGGGGAAACTGCTATCTAGGCGGCAGCAAGCTCTCTCACTTTGAGCACCACTGTTAGGTGGGTAGTGACTTGTAGATGGCAACGCTGTGGACATGCTCTGAATGCCCCGTGTATGGCAAACACTTCAACTGTGATATACTTGAGAAGCCTCAAATGTATTGGGGGAACAATCAAAACACACCTCCAACATCTGTTCTGGGACTGAGAAACCCATACTCAGGTACAACTTGAATACTTACCTTACTTCAGGCTGCTTCAATAAAACATAGTCACATGCCACATAATGACATTTCAGTCGATAACAGACAGACGGCATATCCAATTGTTATAAGGGACCTGAAAAATTCCTATTGCCTGATGGTATTATAGCCATCAAAACACCATCACTCAACTAGGCGCAGTCCATTTCTGTACTACTCAGAAAGCTGCCAGGATAATTATGATTTGAGGCCAACCTTGGCTATTCAGTGAAACCCTGTCTAAAACAACATGAGTTACTCACATATTTGTGATGATGCTGGGATAAGCAAATATACTAAGTTGCTGGTAGTATAAGAGCATAGCGCACACAACTAGGTAAGCACTTGATATTTGGTGATGATAGTGATGGAGTGGTACAGGTTTATGCATTTGCTGTACAATACCTTTAGTGGCTATTATAGTTTCATTTCTGCTGCTATGACAGATACTCTGAGAAAAGCAACATAGAGGAATTAAAAGTTTTATTTGAATTACAATTCCATGTTACAATCCATTATTTTGGGGAAGTCAAGGCAGGAACTCAAGCATCTGGTCACATTACAGCCACAATCAAAGCAAAGAAAGAAGAAATACGTCCTTGCTTTCTTGTGCTTGGTTAGCTCTTGTCACTCGCATTCCAGTTCAGGATCTATCCTGTGGAATGGTGACACATCCAGAGACAGTCTGTCCACCTCAGTTAACAGTCAAGACAATCCCTCACAGGCACACCTAGAGGCCAACCTGATGTAGATAATTCCTCAGCTGAGGCTTCCTTCTCAGGTGATTCTAGGTAGGGACAAGTTGGTATTTAAAACTAACCACGGCAATGGCTGTTTTGGAGTATACTCTTACTTATGAAGAAAAGAGCTTACTGAAGAGCGGTGGGCCACATTGCTTCAGCAACAGCCTCCTGCACCTTTCACCACAGCTCTCGTTTGTGTACTTGATTTAACTTTGTGCCTCTTTTTCTTCATGACCCCTATGTGTCCAAAACACACTTCTAATACTGTAAATAAGAAAACACATAGAGTGGTTGTCCTGGAAAGGAAGTTAAAAGTGATTAAGGATTATGGTGGCAGGACGTCAGTGATGGCCATTGCTCACCAGTCAGACATGTCCTGTGTCACCATACCCACAGTCTTGAAGAACAAGAACAAAACTCTAGAAACCGTTAAAGGAACTGCTCAACTGAAGGCAGAGACACAAACAAAAATTCAAAAGGCCCTGTATAATATGTGGAGAAACTGGTGATAATCTAATTGAAGATCATATCCCTCCCAGCCCTGTGATAAGCACAGCTGAAGCTAAAAGCGTGCCTCTAATGCTGAAAGAAAAGTCTGGACTCAACCTTTATGTTAAACTTAGTACTAAGTCTGAGTGGTTTCAAAGACCCAAGAATCATTGTTCATAAAAAATAAAGTGAGTCATGTGCATGCAAGCGCTGATGTGAAGGTAGCTGAAGGATGGTAGGTTCTAGATAAGCCGATAGAGGAGAAAAGTTACTTCCCAGGGCAAACTTCCTCTCTAGACTAGCAATTCTCAACCTGTGGGTCATAACCCCTATGGGGATTGAATGACCCTTTCACAGGGGTTGCCTAAGACCATTGAAAAAACACAGATATTTACATTATGATTCACAACAGTAGAAAAATTGCAGTTATAAAGTAGCAATGAAATAATTGTATGGTTGGGGGTCACCACAACATGAGGAACTGTATTAAAGGGTTGTTTGTTGCATTAGGAAGGTTGAAAACCATTGCTTTAGACAAAATCCTACTCTCACAGAGACACGTTTGAAAGGTCTTTTCTCTATATGACAAGCTATCTTCATGTTTCAGAAATTTTAAAAACAAGAAAAGAATCTTGCTTGGGACAACGTTAAAGCCACTTTGATCCAGCATAGTGAGAAGCCAGGGTACTCATGCATTATTAGGACATACATATTACCAACACACTACAGCACCAAATGATCATGTGTAACCCAACTTCTCTGCCATGCCCTTCTATGCCAGCAAAACAGATGCTATGCAACTCATGTGTGCAAGTATACTTGATGATGTATATACAATGAAGAGATCACTAAATGATGCATTTCTCAGAATGTATCTTTGTCATTAAATGATGAATGACTTTTCCATAGCCTGGATGGCTTAAGCTACAGAAACATACAGTTCTGAGTATCCAAATCAATGTGCTGGTTGACTCAGTTCCTGGAGAGAGCTTCTTTCCTGGATTATATCCTTCTTACATATAAGGAGCAGACAGAAATAGTTCTGGTCTCTGCCTTGTTCTGTAAAGACATTAACCTCACTCATAAACGGTCTCACCTTCATTAATTACTTCCCAAAGTCCCAACCTGCAAATTTCACCACACTGAGATTTGAGTTTCCACCTATGAATTTGGGGAGATGTAGACAGGTATCCCAAAGAAACAATCTTGCACCATTGCCTTGTTTTCTAGTATGACCAGGCTAATGCACGTCTTTGATTTTAGACTTTGAGTCAGTCATTTCCCCCATATGCATCTTTTCCTACAACTGAAGCTCATCAATTCCAGGGCATTTTAATGGAGAGATGTAGGAAATGGATTAAAACAATGGAACAGAGGCTGAGGGATATAGCTCAGTACTATAGTGTGGGCATAGTATGCATAAGACCTTAGGTTTAATCTTCAGCACATGTGTGTACTCACAAACACACACACCTGCCATAGTTTAAATTTATGCCTTAGAAACAGAGATATTACAAGAGCTAAGCGATTATACAGAAATTCAAAGGGGACTTATGGGGGACATTTCTGAAAGGTAACCTGTCACACTAACAGTTATAAATGAGGCCAAGTAATTATACTTTCAGTACAACTAATGTTGAGAAATAGGTGTAAAACTATAAAAGTTCCCAAAACAAAATAATATATATTTGCCAGTGAGTGGACTCATGTTAGGGCTTACTGTACGGCAGGGAATAAGCCAGTCAGGGTGACCAGGAATATTAAGAGTGTCGCCCTTAGCTGCTCCGGGCGCACTGGTGAAAGTCAAGCTCCCTGGATGCACAAGTAGGAAACAGGGGTGAGGTCAATGGAGCAGTGGAGTCCATGTAAACTGGAGACAATCTGGGCAGCTGCCATTGCCCCCTGTCTAACTGTTTTCATCACATGTGGCAGACCCAATGGTACCACATTCTATCATCAGAAGAATAGTCCCATAAACTTACATCTAATGAATTCAATTTTTAAATGTGGAAAAGTAAACACGGAAAAAAAAAAAAAAAAAAAAAAAACAACCCAGTGTGATCTGGGAACCACTGTGACCTGTAGACTGCACGTGGAGTTTGGCCCAAGAGCTGTGTCCTATGACTTATCGAGCAGTTTCATATGAACTCTGAGGAGTCGAGAATATGCAGATTCCTTAGTCATTCCTATTAGAAAATTTATTTTCAATTATATTTGAATTTTAAAAAGTCTATTAGCTAGAAATTACCCCCAAACTTAGTGGTTCAAAACAACAGTAAACATTTACTTTCTTTTACAGTTATGGACCAGGAATTCATGAACACCTTAGCTGAGTGATTCTGGATCCAGATGTCTCAAAAAGTTGCAGGTGAGAGTTCAAGATGCCGGTTGCGTTTCAGTTCCCCGAACTTGAGTGAGACTAGCAGATGGCTTTTCTGTGAGGACTTACTCACACAGGGAGGGCTGTTGGAGAGGCCCTGCTCCTCCACTCAGGCCTGTGCTGTGTAAATCTCTTCACAGTAAGCTGGCTGGCAGTCTTCACACTTCTAGAGAGAGAGGGGACAAGGTGGATGCTGCAGTGTGTCTAATGACATGGCCTGAGAGGTCTCAACTCTGAATGTTAGCTCGAGGTGCTATAGGAAAATACACAGACCAGGCAGATTGAACAACATTCTTCTTTTTTCTTTCTTTCTATAGATCTGAAGGCTGGGAAGGCCAAGATCATGATGCTGGCCAATTTGGTTTTTGGTGAAGGTCCTCTTCCTGCGTGTATCCTCACGTGGGAGAACCAGAAAGCTCTGTTGTGTTACCATTTTCTTACAAAGGCACCAAGCTCACGTGGGTTCCACTGTCATGGTCTTACTTAGACCTAGGCACCCCCAAAGGCCCATTCTAAGACCACCACATTAGAGGTTAGGACTTTAGATATGGATGGAGCACAAATGTTTAGTTTGCTGGTGACAGTTTAATCCTGTGACATGTGAGAGGGGATGAGACACTGTGAAGTAAAGAGGGCCCTTCTGGAGACTGGCCCTTCTGGAGACTGGCCATTACAATCCTGAACTGAATTGCTTTAAAACTGGGACTTGTTTAAAGGTTATCTTGTACAAAACTCTAACCAATAGGATAACAAACTGATGTTTACAAATGAGATAGAGGGCTATGGGTGTAGCTCAGTGGTATGCACCTGCCTAGGAGTTAGGAGATCCAGGGTTTGATCTATATTGAGAAGTGGAGGATGGAGTAGGTGTTTTCTCTTTTTATATCCATAGAGTTAAAAACAAGTGAACTGTTTCCTGTACAATCTTTGTGGTGAATAAGGCATTTCCAATCCACCCTATTAGAGTCCTGATCATTTTGCAGATCTCGGGTACAGAAATTTACCTGGGCGATGAGAAACTATACGCCCTTATTGATAGGGTGATGCCAGCAAAAGTGAGCCTAGTGAGCTAAGATGAAAGCAATGTTAACCAGCGGACAGAAGCACCTCACAATAAGCAGTCAAGGTTCTTGGATGACGAACGCTGAGTGAAGCTGAGAATTCTGTCTGTTTTCATTACAGCTCAGAATGAGGAAGCCCCAAGCAAGTATTCCAGGCTGACAGTGTCCTAATGCCTAGCTGGTGTATCAGCACTCATTCTCCCCCAGCAGGGGGTAGGGTTAGCAGGGGATGAGGGTAGCAGGGGTGGGGTTAGCAGGGGGGAGGGTAGCAAGGGGTGGGTAGCAGGGGGTAGGGAAAGCAGGGGGTAGGGATGGCAGGGGTGGGGATAACAGGGGGTAGGGTTAGCAGGGGATGAGGGAGGCAGGGGGTGGGGATAGCAGGGGTGAGGATAGCAGGGGTGGGGATAGCAGAGGGGAGGGTAGCAGGGCATGAGGGTAGCAGGGGTGGGGATAGCAGGAGGTGAGGGTAGCAGGGGTGGGGATAGCAGGAGGTGAGGGTAGCAGGGGTGGGGATAACAGGGGTGAGGGTAGCAGGGGGTGTAGATAGCAAGGGGTGGGGATAGCAGGGGTGAGGGTAGCAGGGGTGAAGGTAGCAGGGGGTGGGGATAGCAGGGGTGAGGGTAGCAGGGGGTGGAGATAGCAAGGGGTGGGGATATCAGGGGGTGGGGATGGCAGGGGTGAGGATACCAGGGGTGGGGATGGCAGGGGTGGGGATGGCAGGGCTGGGGATGGCAGGGGTGAGGGTATCAGAGGTTCCTGGTGATAGGTTTTTGTTTTTGTTTTTTAAATAAGAGATGGTATCAACATAGTCTGATTAGCACATGCAAGTGAGCTGCAGGAATCAGACATTAGCAAGGCAACAGCAAAAAGTATTTAGCTTTCACTTTTTATTTCAGCTGTGAATAGCATCTGTGGGCTACAAATAATTCAATAAAGGATAGAAAGTCATAAAAACTGGAGACGTTTTCACAGGTTCTAAATTGATCCTTTTATATTCATGGAGGGTTATCCCAAGCCGGAACTGGTGGTGCATAGGAGCCTGCTGCTGCTGCTGCTGAGAGCTTTTGCTCTAAATGGCAGTCTTGGTTGAAAAGGCAGTTGGGAAAGGCATATGAGTGAATATACACAGAGGAGTGCTCTGAAACCCAGCGATTTTTTAAGGAGGCGCGCGGATATTCTTTTCAGTGAAAAAGAAGCAGATTCAGGGCCAACAAGATTCAGGGTCAACAAGATTCAGGGTCTGGGGACACACACGCACCATGCAAAGGAGCTAAAGTTTGAGTGCCGTGGGTTTAAGCACATGCCCAGTCAGCTTTGCAATCAGTGAAAACCACAGAGAGCAGGAGGGAACAACAGCCCGGGGACAGTTTCCCATGATTCACCCCGCAGGCCAAGTTCCACATTGCCGATGAGACAAAACTAGCTACTTTCCCTCATCAAGTCTGATTTATTTGGCCTGAGATGGACACACAGGTCACTAGTGAGCAGATCAGAACCCCCTAGCACAGCTCCATCTCCCAGCAGGCATGCTTTCCCAAGACCTGGTTTCCCCTCTGACTCTTACAATCTTTCAGGCACTCATCCTTCAAGACTCAGCCCAGGAAATACTTTCTGAATAAAGCCCACATACACATGCTCAGAATTAAGCACATTACATGCATGTAACACTAATCACACATGTGTGTACCATACCACATGTGTGCACCACAGACACCAATCTCACATACACAGAGTTAAACATGGTACATGCACACCAATCATATACATATATAATCTAGATCATACATGTGCACCACACATAGCAACCACCTACACAGAGTTAAACATGGTACATGCATACCAATCATACACATGTATATACCATACCAAACATATATCATATAGAGAAATCACACACACACACACACACACACACACACACACACACACACACACATACACACACTAAAACAGTACATGCACACTGATTACATACATATATGTATTGCACCATACATATACCACAATATACATATGCTGTGCTTCCTTTCACCTTAGCTCATCATTACATGAAGCTTCTTTATTTCTATATGACATCAATTATCTACTTACTGACTCTCTCAAATAGGCCTAGATTTATATTTTCACCGATGCTTATTACTTAAAACACAAAAAAGGGATTTTCTTTATAGCACAAGCCCTATCCAACTACAACGAGATTTTTTTTTTTTTTTTTTTTTTGGTTTTTCGAGACAGGGTTTCTCTGTGTAGCTTTGCGCCTTTCCTGGAACTCACTTGGTAGCCCAGGCTGGCCTCGAACTCACAGAGATCCGCCTGCCTCTGCCTCCCGAGTGCTGGGATTAAAGGCGTGCGCCACCACCGCCCGGCTACAACGAGATTTTTAAAAGCAAGCATAAATGTAATGTTTATGAGGGCCTCTGAGCTGAGGTTTAATCATGCCATACAGGGAACAACCAGCCTGTGGGTGAGGTCATCCATGAAACAGCCACAAAATGGCCAAAAAGGAGAGGTGGAAAGGGACAGGGAGTCCTCAGGAATTTGTCTTTGAATATCAGAAAGCTCTTAGCAGTGTAGACTTTCTGTGTTTATGCTGGAAAGTAAATGGAGAGATTTCACCTCCGACTCCATTTACTGTTGCCTTGACTGTAAGCTCTTCTCATGACTGATGCCATGTGCCTTAATGAACAGAACACAGCTTTACGGTTGTGGGATTGGAGCAAGGCTGGTGTTCCATCTTCCAATCCATTACCACACATTATCTATGGCTTTGGGGTAATTGAGCAAATAATACTCTTGACAACCATTCCCCTCTTTGACTCCAAAGCAAGGTAATTAATTAAGGCCAGAAGGGGATTGTTAGCATCTGCTAATGAACTACAGTTGAGGGAATTACTTCGGAGAGCCCTCTCAGAGCCTGTAAGTGCGCACCAACAAGAGTAGCTTGGCCACTAATGTTCTCCGTCTCTCCCATCACTGAGTCACCGAAGGGCACATTAAATGTGGAACAACTGGAGTGCTTCTGTGACACGGCTCTGTCTGATGATGTTTGTATAACTTTTGAGTGCTATTTATTTTCAAACCATATGACACACCAAAATATGATGATCCAGATAATAAACTTACCTGTCAGAATCCACTCACCACTGTGCTATGTAGCCTAAGTGTCTCTCACACACATAACAACAACAACAACAACAACAAGCCCGTGGAGAAAGCTCTCAGGCCTGAAGAAATTGCAGTCTTCATGGGACCTAATACAGAAAATAAGTGGTGTGCATAGTAACATGACAGTAGGTAAGTACTTCCTGAACTGTGTTAAAAGGGCTCAAACAATAGCTCAGTGGAAGGGCCCCTTCCTACCATGGGTATGATCCTGGATTCAATCCCCAGTACTTCAGATCAATCAATCAATCAATCCACTGTGTGACACCTGGCATGGTAATGCATGGCTGCAACCCCAGCACATGGAAAGCTGGAACAGGAGGACTGTGAGAATCTGAGACCAGCCTGGAACACATACCAAAACCACATGCACACAGGGTTGGGGGAGGGGTGAATTGAGAGAGAAGGGATGAGGAAGAGGAGTTGGAAAGAAGAGAATCCTGTGATTGAGCTTGAAGGAATCACCATGGAGCAAGGGGAACAGAGAACAATCTCTAAAAGGCAGGACAAGTCCAGCCTCCCTGAAAAGAATCCAGGACCTTCAGAACATCTTCCTTCCTCCTTCTCCCTTGGCACTTTAAAGACACAGAGACTTGTAAGTGTACGCTCTCACACACATGCACAAGCACACATGAGATAAGTCAAGGGTCTTTAGTGTGGATCTAGATTCAAATAAAATGGCGACCATACTCTGTTGCTTAATGCCTTCATGAGTAGAGCCAAAACATTGTGATGTGGGAAAAAATTATAAAAGATCTAATATTCAAAATTAAGATATGATAACAATGTCCACCAGTATTGTTAACTGGGCATTATAGGGGGGCATCTTTTTTTACTTAGTTTCTGTACTGGACCCCAATAGATGAGACTGAGCAATCACCACGCATCCAACTGTACTAAATTACTTGTCTTCAAACCAAAACTAAGCTATTAACTGTTTTTTCCAGTAAACTGTAAGAAATGAGTGATAACAGGCAAATTTCCCAAACAGGTAGTTTCTACAGTGATAATGAAATTCTCTCTGTTTTCATCCTTATTTAAAGGAACTGGCCTAAAGCAATCTGGTATTAACTAATCAGCTATTTTTTCTATTATTTGTCTTCCCGTCTCATTTTACAAGTAATTTATATTGATCAACTCTGCATTTTGCATATTTTTTAAAGCCCTTCTCTGTCCATAAAAGCAACCTGTCCGGCCAGGAAAGATGGCTCAGTAGGAAAAGGCACTGGTTGCCAAGCCTGACAACCCGAGTTCAATCTCTGGAACCCACAGAGGAGGAGAGAGCCAACTCTGTAAAGTTGTCCTCTGGCCTCATTATGCAGTGTGGTGCTTGTTCACGCGGGCATGCGCACACACCCCTATGCACACTAATTGTAAAATTTGACCTCTTCTTCTTAATCCATGGGAATTCTACTTCATGGAATAAAGTGCTCTATACAGTCTAGAATTGCAGAGTAAAGCCAGTTGTGATCTTTAAAGCATAGTGTTGTAGTTCTGCCTTTTGATTGTATGCAACAAATCACTTGAATCTAATTTCAATGACTACTGAGAACAAAGTGAAAAACTCTGGAAATAATGCCTCCTTGCCATCTCCCCAATTAGTGATATACCTAGGGGCGAACATTAGCATATATGCATGAGTGACTGTAACAAATAAATATAAAAACTGTTTTTCTATTTTTATTTTCATAGTTTTAAGGACCAAATAATCATAAATATCTGAAGGCTTTGGACTCAGAAGTCCCTTCATTCTTAAGAGGATACCCAAAGGAGCTGCCAGCTTTTTGAAAAGCATTTTTTTGTTGTTGTTGTTGGGGATGATGGATGGCTGAAAGTAACTTGTACCATTATAATGCTTTGGAGTAGCAGGGAAAGGTTCTGGCTGTAGTTACAGAGGAGTGAGTTATCTGTAATATAAGACAATGTTAGACAGTGGTAAGAGTCTCAGTGCCACACAGCAGGGTAACTAGAGATAATGATGATGTTCTCTATAGTTCAAAACACTGTGGTGATAAAGGCTTAGATGTTTCATCCCTAAGATGATAAGTGTTTGAGG